CATCCAAGTTACCCAAGCCTTTTTATTTGAACATCAAACAACAGGCAAATGTCACTTATTCTTGCCTTTTAGCCCTATTGGCCCTGATATCTTTTACATGACACAAGGTTTTAGTGCCTTACATTCAAAATTTTATTAAACTACTTTTTGTTTATGTTATACCAATTAGAATAGCATAAAATCTTAGCTAATAATCCATATTTTAATGGTATACAAGTTTTATGTTTTTAATTCTACAAGGGAATATTTAAAAAAATCCTGAATTTCCACTAATGTTACCCACGTGACACATTTTGTCTTAGCATGTCATCACCCCTCAAAAATGTACAAAAGTAAACCAAACTATAAAATCGTTATTGCTCAGAGAAACCATAATTTTCATAGTTATCAATTTTGTTTGGTTACAGAGCTATTGAATAGAAAATCAGACCTGTCACATCCTCTTTTTCACAATTTGTTGATAGTTCTCTCTTACGTTTCATTATATATTACCTATAACCAATAGAAAGTCAAGATTTTCGTCTTTCAAATGATGTATTGTATAATGTTATGTTCTGAACGGTTAAATGTCAATTTCACTCAGAGTAGCAAAATCGTTCCCGTGGGAAAGTTAACGACTAGCTTGGATGAATTTGTAATGACTCCTGTCACATAGTTAGAAAGCCTGAAAAATTGTGAGAGGTAAGGAAATTTGTCTACTTTTTGCATTTTATTAGTCTATATATTCTTTGGTGCATTATTTAATTAAATTAAAATTATTAAGTGCATTACTATTATTAGTATAAAAAATTAGGGTTAACTCTCTTCGAAACCCAACAAAAAAAAAAGAAGAAGGTTAGGTAAATACTTTAATTCTTGTTTTTCATTTTTATTTTTTATTTATTATTGAAAAAATAACTAAAATGTAAACATAGGAATCTCTTTAGATTAGATAAGGTTAGATCTTTTTAAGTTACTTAAAACTAGATTAGGTAAAATAAATAATAATAATAATTAAAATGGTTCATGAGGCATGCATGCGAGCAGCTCGTGGGGAATGTAATTCAATAGCGTAATGCGCACTGCATGTTCCCTGAGTGATTTACAACTTACAATGGCGTGGATAGTAGTTAGACACGGTTCAAAGGGCAATAAAATTTAATCATAAATACATGTATAATATTATGAACTTAGAGCTACTTAGGATAAACAAATTAGTTTATGTTACAATTTGAAGTCATTCTAGAAAGAAAAAAAGGTTAATTTAGGTTTAATTCGATTTTTTTTTCTTTTGGTTGTTACGAGGTCGTCTAATTGACTGATCCCATTTTAAGATAGGGTAGAGAAAATAACAGGTAAACTATAAAGTTTTACTGAAAAAAACTTTGAAATGTATTTAGGAGGTTTTTAGGGATTACACAAAGGAAATTTTAGATATTTGAGATGAAGAAAAGTATTTTCAATCTCAACATGAAAATTACTATGCACATGGACTATATTCAAAACAAATACTCAATATATTCATGGACAAATCTTTATTTTATTTTATTAAAAATACTTCACTAACAAATATGATTTTTTGTATGTGAAAGACATGTAATGTTAACTGAAGGATTGCCAAATTTTGTGAAATATACATACTATATTGAAAGATAGAAGTATTAAATCTATAAAGACTTTAAATGAGTACAAAAAGGAGACGTGGTCGGTCAAATTGACCGAACCCATGTTGAGAGAGTTATAATGATCTAGGTACACCATACATAATTGAATTTTCCATGTTTGGCAGATAATTGGTTGCTTTTATTTTTGTGTGTATAAGCAAATCCATGTTGTAGGAGGGTTTACTGTATTATGTTTTTTACCTGTAAATTTTTTTTCGTAATATTGTTCTAATTCTCAGTATGGTTTGTTTTTTGTAATGCTGTGTTGTTGTTGTTTATAAGGTAATCTTTCTTTTTCTCCATAATTATATTTGAATGATTTGTTGCTGTAGTGTGATGTCTGTCTATTTATCTGATTTATTTAAAATATATGATGTCAATTTTTTATTTGATTTATCTTCGTTTCAGTTGTATATGAATTATTTCTTTTGTTTTGTTTCTCAATACATGATTTGTTTTATGATTTTGGTCCTTAAATGATTAATTTTCTGCTGTGCTATCTTCTTTTTTCATATGTATTGTGTTTTTATAATGTTATATTGATTTTCTAACCTACTATTATGTCTTTATCTGTCCTACATTATTTAATTTCATAATATTATAGTTTTAACTTTAGGTGAATTGCTTCTATAATGTAATCTGTGCCATTTTACATGATTTGCTTATTTAGCAGGGATGATGATTTGATTTATGTACAAACCATCAAATACTTGATGAATCATTGTTAATATGTATTAAATTTGAATTTATTGGGCAAAATTGCTAAGAATAACCATTCTCTGTCAATCATAAACAAACTGAGACTTTGTCTAACTGATCTGGAAAAAATAACTATGGAATGAGTTAACTGTGATAGAAGAAACATAAAAAATATAAATACATATGTGTTTTGGGTGCAAAGTTCCCTGATAGTTTAACATATCAACATAATAGTAGAAAGTATTTACATATTGATCCAGAATTGCAGATAACACACTAATAAACCCTCAGGTAAGTGGTTAAATGCATGTAGGATATACAACAGTTTTCAATAAATAACTGCGTTTTACAAGACTAGAAGTAGCCTACTGGTTGATCTCACACAATCAGTCTTGGGCCTCAGCTTAAGAATGAGTAAGCTCTCTTATATTTAGAGACTCTGTCCATCACTGGCCCTTAATGAGACCTTAAACAAATTAGAATGGATGGCAGCATCACGTTCTTTTAAGGGTATATTCGAGTACACTTAACAAAAAATTTTAGATTAACATGTTGTTTCACTCACAACAATAAAAAACCAGGATTTGTTGTTTTACTCATAGTTACAGTATTATCTAGAACTATTTCGTCATCACAAAGCTCTTTGCCCCCAAGTGGTTCAGCAGTAAGTCTGAAGGCTTTTATAATGTTCAAAATCTAGTTTTGATACCTGTGGTGAGTAAAGCACAGCTACCACACTGTGTATGTTTGTGCTTAACAACAAACAAACAAACACAAAGATGTTAAAATTTATTTCATTTTATTTTTTCAAATATTCATAAGTGCAAAAATAATGTTTGAGTCATCCCATATATTTCTACATATGTTATTTGGCTAATAATAAATTTCACGAAAGATCTCTTACAAAAGACTCAGTTTCTATTAGAGATTAACTTGCATTACAAAAATACTTTCTGTAACAGGCTTAATTAGACTTGTAGTTGCAGAAAATAAATTTATTTAAATACATACATTTTTTATTTAATGTGTGTTTTGACAGGTTCGGCGGCGAACAGCAACTACACAGGAATTATTGTATCCATTAAGTGCACAGGCTTCTAGTGAGTCTGTGGTGCTGTCCGTGCCTATGATAGAAGAAGAATCAGAAAGCCTGTCATCTTCTATAAGACAGCAGGAGTTCACTTTTAGCTACTGGCAGAAAGAGAACATGATGACTCAAAGTGTCCTCATGCCCCCTCCTCCACCCCCCGTTTCAGAGGAGAAAAGCATACCTCGAGTAATCAGTGCTCCTGGATCCCTCAAGTAAAATCCAGTTTTTATTATAACAATTTCTTTTTTAGAAGTATTTGAAAGTATCTTTGTGTTTAGAACGATTGTTCGATGTACAATGGTACAGTTTTATTGCATGTTCAAAGTCTTACACACACGAATATATTTATATTATGAAAACCTAGTATTTTAAAAGAACAATGTATTTGAATTGGTTTAGTGTATTAAATTGTAATTTTTGTTTTTCCAGTTTATAAATCTAATTGTTAAATATTCAGCTTAGTACTTATTTCATGGAGTTGATAAGAACAGTATGCTCATTAATCATAATTTCATCTTTGATCAGAGATATGGCTGCCAAGTTTAAACATGATCCATCTCCTGCTCTGAAACACAAGACGTATGACAAAATTCCTCCAGAAATATCACCCGCCATTCGTCGTAAAAATGCCAGTAATACCTCTTCAACATTGGTTCTACAGCAGAACTTTGTGTAAGAATGACCTTATTATAACCATAGCTTTTAATGTACAGCAGGATTATTAGAACAGAGGCAAGTTACAAAGTTAATTTAAAACAAGATTCTGTAGATTTATATGGCTCATACTTAAAAAGAAAGGTATATTAACCATCCTGGAGTATGAAATGTACTTTTACTTTGAAGTTCTTGTATAACAGTGAAAAACTTACTAATACAGCCAAGTAGTAAAATAACTTAAAGTAAACATTCAGTAACACTTAACTACTAAACTGGGCCTTAATAGCTTGCCACTTATTGAGTATGATCAGTATAAATTTTATCACAAAATGTTGTTTTTTTTCTAAAAGGCATTTCTTTGGAAGATTTTTATTGAAACTAATAAACAAAGGAGCCAAGTCTACTTTATAAATGAAAATACACAGCAAGCTACATGACCCACACATTGATAATTAGTCATCGAAAAG